AATTAAATTTTCTTATATTTGAATAATTTTTATGGGTTTACGGTATCGAGAGATCTTAAGTATTTTGACATGGTGTATGACACAAAGTTTGGCTTTCACTGGGTATTATTTTATGAGATTTATTCTTAACTTTAGAATATCTCAGAGTTTATGTTTTGGTTTTTCCTATTACGGGGAGTTTTGATTGTTGTTTTAGGGAGTTCTAATTGGAACGCTTATGTTCTTTAGGTCAATTTTTTTGTTTAAGTCCGATATATGGATTGTCCAAGTTAAGGACAAATTGTTTGTGGAGTTGTAGTTGCGTCGACAGGCTGTATTCCCTTTATCAAGACCAAAGACGAGCTGAAATTTCATCCCTATTTTGAATATTGAAGTTTACACCTGCAGGATTTTGTTGATTTGTTTTGTCCGTCCTCGACAAGTTGTCCACAACATACGTGTTTCGCTTGATTATTTTGCGTACCACGCTTGTCGTGCGGAGGAGTATTGGAGATAACTTGGAGAGCAAGACGAGTAGCTTGCGAACCAAGTGTTGTAGGACAGCAAAGCCCGTCTGTGAAGTGAAACCCATGAAGCTCAAATTGAAGAATATTCTAGATCTCTACGTTACTTCTTGTACAAGCATAATTCCATTGTGTTTAGGAAAGTTTACATTTAACAATATGTTAAGCCTAACCACTATATATATCTATTTTATGATCTTGTATCAAAGAACTCAATACAATATATTATATTCTATAAGTTTTGACATTCGTGTACTAGGGTTTTTCTCTAAATTTAGTGGGTTATTTTTAATTAGTTAAGTTGATAGAAGTCCATGTTCAATTGGGTACTGACCGTGTTAATGAAAGAGGTCTTTCCGGCACCATTGGGCCCTAACATGCCAAAACATTCTCTTGAAGCCATGCGAGAGACAACCCTCGAACTGCCATTTTTTTAGGGTTCCCATCCCTACCTGGATACTCTTTCTTCAAATTGTCACATACAATTGCATGGCTTGTGCTCGGCTTAAGCATTAATTTCTCGACTTTTTCTCTCTGATTGGAATAAATATCGTTTGATCAGTACATCAAAACAAAAAAATGCAAAGAACATGCAATATAGGTTTCTTACCTCTCGAGTGACATCTTGTTTCTCCATTTCTAAGGTAACTTCAAGAATCTGCATTTGCAACCTAGTCTTTTGTGGAGAAAGAGAATGCTTGATGTTGGACATGGGCCTCATAATTGAGAAATTATGAAGTCCATCGCCGAGCTCGGCCCGGCAGAGTTAAAAGGCCAGTGTACTTTACAAGAAAACTCTACATAAATGTACTTCCTCATTCTAGTATAAAAGGGGGACCCCTCTCCTTGAGTTGTCCCATCATTTTTCCTCTTTTGGAGTAGTACAAGAGACTAGAGAACTAATTGTTTTCTAGACTCTAACTAATCTAAGAGAGAATAAATTCGGTTCGTACATTCCTCCGGAATCGTACGAGAATTTATCAGAAACAGTGATTTTTATACGCGCTTATCATCGATCTCGGAATACTTATCACTCAGACCCGACCTCAGAATATGAATCAATCAGCCCCGACCTCAGGATATTCCCTTACTACCCAGTTTCTGACCTCAGGAACTCGTTACTCAGTCAGTTCGTTTATACAAGGTTTGTCAGTCTACTAAGCTTCCGAGCTCAACATCCTTTACTTTTCTTGTTCTGTTATCCTACTTGTAATCCATTTCCGAGCATAATATCAATAAACGAGGATTTTCGAGCCCCTTTACTGTTTAATAAACATACTATCAAACTCGAGTATCAACAATTGGTGGCCTATACAGGTCTCTGAAATTCTCCAACGCACGATTTCAATTCGGAAATGGAGAACAACCACCCCGAACACAGCACGGCCAACCAGGAGACAGATACAAGGAATCACGACCCTCAGACAGCGCCCGCAATCATCGAAAGCATCACTGACCAAGAAGTCTAAGCCGTCATTAACACTGAGCCCGCCGGGCAAGAAGTCGTACCCACCCAACAAGCTCAGGATCAAATGACAGCTATGATGGAGGTCATCATGCAACGATTCGACCGACAGGAAGAACAAGCCCGCAGCACCAACTCGAGGTTAGAACTTCTCGCTACGGCTCAGATAAACTACCGAGCATAATTGGATCAGTTGAATCCGAGATCCGCTCACGATTCACCCCAGACTCAAAGGAGCTCATCGCCAACCCCCAGACGGCAGGCGCGAGCGGAGACGACCGAAAGATTAGCCAACCTCAGCATCCGGGCACCTACTGAACACCCGAGCATCTCAAGGGCAGCTCGACCGACCTCCCAACATCGTGACTCGATCTCGCATGAAGAACGCCGCATTTTGACGCAGGATCGGGATCCCGAAATTGAGCGAATGCAAGCCCAGCTCAAAGA